TAGAGTACTCACAACATACGCACAAGCACGCATAGTATACGCACAACATACGCATAGAGTACTCAGTGCTTATGCCAGCATACACACATTCTATGCACAAAATTGGCACAAACTACTCTATTTTAAAAGTTTAGGATTTAATTATTAAATACTTAAAATTTAGTTAGGGCTTAGGTTTCAAATTTCAACATAATTTCATAAACCCTAAATACAAAGAAAATACGATGACATCAAAGTATCAAACATTTAAAAAGTTTTGAGAAGCAATGCATACGCATAGCATAAGCATAAAATACGAAGAACTTCAATACCCCGAACACCTACGCATAGCATAAGCATAAAATACGCATAACTTGAACAGACAACATGCCAGAAAATTACATTTCTTTTTTGGGGTGACGACATCTGAGAAGCAACTGAGTGAATGCTTGAAATTCCTCCAGAGTGAATGCTTGAAACATTTGCTGGAAGTTGAAAACCGAAACGCCGCGTGTACTGTGAAATTTTTTTGTCATTTTACCTTTACCAGGGTTTAAATGTTGATGCCACGTCGACATCTCACTAGGCAATCCAGGACTCCACGTAGGCAATTGGGGGGAACTGAAAAAAAATATTAGGTTAGTTTTTTTTAGAGGTGGCGCCTCAAAAATGTGAGGCGAGGAAGGCGCGCCTCAGTAAACTTGAGGCGTAAGCCTCAAATCCTGAACTTATTGCGTGGGCTTTGAGGCTTAAAGGGACCATATTGCGCTGAGGCGCGCCTTTTATTGCGCAATTTTAAACCATGACTTCACTAGCAAGTTTTTGCTTTTTGCTGATGATATTCTTCTTGTTGATAAATCTAGAGAGGGAATTGAAGATAAACTTGAATTATGTAAGTCAACCTTAGAGTTTTAAAGCTTCCGTTTGAGTAGATTTAAAAGTGAATACAGTGAGTGTAATTTTAGTTGTAATAGATTTTGAGGGGGTGTTGTGACTTTGTGTAATCAAGTTATTAATAAGAGCACATGTTTTAGATATCTCGGGTCTATTGTTCAATTGTTCAAAGTGACGGTGAAATAAATGAGGATATTATTTGTCGAATTTAAGTTAGATGGTTGTAGTGGAGGAATGCTTTGGGTCTGTTGTGTAATAGAAAAGTATCCCTCAAACTTAAGAGAAAATTCTATCAGATGGTGGTGAGACCTGCAATGCATTATGGCGCAGAATGTTGGCCATTAAAAGAGAAGTATAAAATTAAGTTAAGTGTTGTAGAGATGAGGATACACAGGTGGATGAGTGACTTTACTCTGAGAGAGAATGCGAAACGAGTATATAAATGAAGAGATTGAAGTAGCTCCAGTGAAAAATAAGATTAAGAAAGAATCGCCTTAGATTGTTTGTTCACATAAAATGTTGACCTTCCGATGACCCGATTAGGAGAGTAGATGTATTAGATTTGACCTGTGTTAAGAAAGATGGAGGTAGACCTAAAAAAAACTTGGTTATAAAATATTAGAAATGACCTTTTTTCTAGATTTAAATGAAAATTTGACTTTTAACATAAGACAATAGAGAAAAAAGATTCTTGTAGTCGACCCAAAGTAGTGGGACAAATGCTTGATGTTTTTGTATGCTTTTAGAAAATTCAAGTAATAGGAAGCGTGTATGGAATAACTCTGCTCTATATGGGCAAAGAGCTCTAATTTTCCTTTTCAAGTGTTGTTTAGTGTTTCAAGTGCAGGTGGAGTACTATTGTGTACACTTTTTAGTCATTGGAGCGCAAACCTATGTAGTTTGATCCACTCTTGATGAGGCATTTTAAAGTCTTACAAAGAGTTGAAAATTGATTTGTCAAACCTTTTCTATTCTTGACAAAACATGAACTATGGCATGTGGTTACGTCTTTTTGGGACTAATACAAGATCAAAAATAGCTTCAAGCCTTTATCGCACTATGCGGGGTCAGCTACATGAAACATTTTTCTCCATTGTGTCCAGTTAAGAGTCAAATTCTCATTTAAATCTAATGAATAAATGTCGTTTCTAATATTTTCTAATCAAGTCTTTTTAGGTCTACCTCTATCATCCTTAACATAAGCCAAATCTAATACATCTACTCTCCTAACTATATCATCGGAAGGCCGCCGTCTTATGTGGGAATAATGATAACATTTTTCTCTTCTAAATAGCTCGACATAGCAACAACAAAGCATTATTAAATGAAGCCATATATTTTAGTAAATGTTTCACGTGGTTACATATCTTGCATCAATTTTTATTGAGCAACATAGAAATCTTTCGTATTTCACATGTTTGTATTAAGAAGTAGAGAATATACAGAAACTTCATGATAACTTCTTTTTCACATTTCTCCTCTCTTCCACTTACACTTAATAATAGCTCATCTAAAGTTGACATAATTGAATCATAAATTAAATAATGGAAAGAAACATGGTAGTTTAAGCATGTGTGCATGTATAAGAAATCTTTTAATTTTTAACATCTCTCTTTCTCTGCCCACTCACACATACACACGTATGCAAGCCTATGCATGTATCTATGTGTTTGCGCGTGCTTATAAGTGCATATATTTTTTGACCCTTTATCAATCTTTTATGTATAAATAGAAATGCATGATGGCTCTGATGGGGACATCAGATCATGAATTAAGGCGTGGCCGTCGATCTACGGCCACGATAGAGTCGTTGTATTTTTTAGTCATTTTCATGAATTTGTCGTTTATTATGTTATTTGTCTGTTAGTATTTATGTTTTAGTTATTTTCTCATTTTACCCTTTTACTTAAGGGAGGTCGTATGTAAGTCCTAAGGGCATTGTCGTCTTTTTATTTTGAGTCCTTTTGTAAGAGGCTATTTATAGCCCTCATGTTGCACTTCATGAGTTAATGAATGATTATGAAAATTTTCTACGCTTGTGCTTGAGAGCTCTTGAGGAGAACTTGGAGAGATCCCTAGGAGAGGGAGAACGTATTATCACTTACCAACCTTGGAGACGGCCGGGTTCGTGGTTTTCACTTTGTCTTTCGTTGTCTCTTGTCACTTTCCCTTAGTCGTCTTCGTTGTCTCCACCCACCACCCGACCCCTTTCCCCCTTCACATCATCCACGGTTTCCCCACCTAAACCGCCGGCCTCATTGCTTCCCTTTGGGATTTTCCCCCCCAAACGCCACCACCTCTTGATTCCTTTCCATAGATAATTCTTCTTACTTTGGGAAGATTTCATTTCAAATTTGAAAACAAAAATTAAATTTGAAATTTCTTTCCTAATTTAAGAAACTTATTTTAGGAAAGTTTCCAAATTTAAATCCTATTTGAATTTCAAATTCAAGAGGAGTGAATTAATATCTTTCCTATTTCTTTTGGTTAAATTAAGAAACTCTTAAACCCTCTTCATTAATGCTCCCTTAAAGAAACTCTTAAACCCTCTTCATTAATGCTTCCTTAACCATCTATGCCACCGGCCCCCTTAGTGGTTGGATTAGGAATTCTTTCCTTAAACCCAACTCATCTCTTTGGAAATATTTTCCTTCTCTTGCCAGCCAGAATTTTCAAAACCTAAAGCCTTTAATTACTTTCCAAAACTGAGAGTGAAATTAGGAAATAACTCCCTAATTCTCCTCTACATCCCGTCGGCTCCCCTCACTGAATTTTTTCTTTTCCTAAAGTCTACCCAGATTCCATTGTTTCTCTTTGGGGAAAAGTTTGGGAATTCAACCTGCTGCTGGCCGAATTTTCCAAAGCCTCTCTCATTAATTTTCTTCCACTAAATCCTCTTCAAACTCCACCCAACATTGAGCCCTCTTCTTCCTAAAACTGCAGCCAGAAATTTCAGCTTGTTGCCCATGCAAACCCAGCCATTGCAAGCCTCACAACTGCTGTTTGGAAGATCAAAACTGCTGTCCATCAGTTTCCACTGAATTCTTTTCGCTGTAGCAACATCGGAGAAGTCTCTCCTTGTCATCCAACCCTTCCCAAAGTCAAAACAACGACCTCTCGCATGGATGGCTGACCCGGACACAAAATAAGACTTCTCCTACGACAAACTTCTTCAACATATCGGCTACTTGTTTCCGGATGTTGACTAAGGTGAACTTCTCCCCCTCTTCAATTAACCTTCTAATCCCCTAATCTTGTAGGTGATGACGAATCCCAAGGAGACGAGTTTCGCCTTTTGCCTAAGCTTAGTAAACGTAGGGTTTTATCTCGCCTTTGTCAAAGCCTAGTAAACGTAGGATTGAGTGCACTTTTATTTGCTTCTAATCTTATTGTTAGATTAGGGATTATGTGCTTATTTGGAAAATTGGTTAGTCCATCTTTCACTTACGTACTTATCATAGACAAAACTTGAGCCATGATGCCTACGTGGAAAGTATTGCTTGCAGTAGATAATCCTACTTTTCCATTTATCTTGTAAATTACTACGGAAAGTATCATCAGATTGATTGTCTTCATCAATTCTATAACGTAAATTATTTGTTGTTCTAGATGCGACCAAAAATACCTTTAGCTGTTTGACTTACACTTCAATGATCTTCAAACGTATAATTGAACCACTAGTTCTACTTTTATTTGTGGTATTACCTAGCATAAGGCTAGTGATTTTGATGTTGATGATGATCTTTTTCTTATTCTGGACGAATCTTGATATACTTGACTTTGTCTATAAGATTCAATTCCATATTATGTTCGTTCTCTTTTTAAACCTGTTATTCTATCAGTTCAACTAAAATAGTTTAAACTTTGATTGGCCAGGTTTTCTATAGATAATGTTACATCCCAATTTACTATTCCTTCATTGGAACATTAATGTGCCTTGTCTGTCTACTGTACATTTATTAAATGCTTGATAAACATTTAAGAGATATCCCTTGTAGCTATTACCCAAATTTTTTTGTTTTCTACCTGCCTATACTATACGATTTGATTGTTTGGTTCCCAGCTAGGATTTGCTTTTCCATCAAGCCAAAAGATTTTGATTGATGCTGTTGTGTTTGTTTTTCCAGACAGAATGGACCAGGGAGGAAGATGAGAAGTTGCTTCATCTTGCTAAGCTGATGCCTACTCAATGGAGAACAATTGCTCCAATTGTGGGACGAACACCTTCTCAATGCCTTGAGCGCTATGAGAAGCTTCTTGATGCTGCTTGTGCCAAGGATGAAAATTACGAACCTAATGATGATCCACGTAAGTTGAGACCTGGTGAGATTGATCCAAACCCAGAATCTAAGCCTGCTCGCCCAGATCCTGTAGATATGGATGAAGATGAAAAGGAAATGCTTTCAGAAGCACGGGCTAGGTTAGCTAACACTAGGGGTAAAAAGGCAAAGAGGAAGGCAAGGGAGAAACAGCTTGAGGAAGCAAGGAGGCTTGCCTCTTTGCAGAAAAGGAGAGAACTGAAGGCAGCTGGGATTGACAACAGGCATAGGAGGAGGAAAAGGAAGGGTATAGATTATAATGCTGAAATACCATTTGAGAAGAGGCCTCCTCCAGGTTTTTTTGATGTTTCAGGTGAGGAAAAACCTGCGGAGCAACATAAATTTCCGACAACTATTGAGGAGCTGGAAGGGAAAAGAAGAGTTGATATAGAAACCCAATTAAGGAGGCAAGATGCTGCAAGGAACAAAATCCAACAAAGGCTAGATTCTCCTGCAGCGATATTACAAGCTAATAAACTTAATGATCCTGCAGCGGTTAGGAAGAGGTCAAAATTGATGCTCCCTCCCCCACAGATTTCGGATCAGGAATTGGAGGAAATAGCAAAAATGGGTTATGCTAGTGATCTTACTTCAGGAAATGAGGAACTGGCTGAAGGCAGTGGTGCAACACGTGCCCTCGTTGCTGATTATTCTCAGACTCCAAGAAGGGGAATGACACCTCTCAGAACTCCTCAAAGAACTCCGGCAGGGAAGGTAGATGCTATTATGATGGAGGCGGAGAACCTTGCACGATTGAGGGAGTCTCAAACACCTCTTCTGGGTGGTGAGAATCCTGAGCTGCATCCTTCTGATTTTTCAGGTGTTACCCCAAGGAAAAGGGAGATGCAAACTCCTAATCCATTAGCAACACCATTGTCCAGCCCTGGACCTGCGGGTCTTACTCCAAGAATTGGCATGACTCCATCAAGAGATGGACCTGGTGGAACACCAAAGTTCACTCCTTTTAGGGATGATCTTCACATCAATGAAGATGTCGAAATGCAGGATAGTGCAAAGCTTGAACTGCGCAGGCAGGAAGAGATGAGAAGAAACTTGAGATCTGGTTTGACAAATCTTCCGCTGCCCAAAAATGAGTACCAAATAGTAATGCAACCAATTCCAGAGGAAAATGAAGAAATTGAGGAAAAAATTGAAGAAGACATGTCTGACAAAATAGCCAAAGACAAGGCAAGGGAACAAGCAAGAATGGAGGCCTTAATGAAAAAGAGGTCAAAAGTACTTCAGAGAGAGCTTCCAAGACCACCTGCGGCTTCATTAGAACTTATAAAAAATTTACTGGTTAAGGGTGATGAAGATAAAAGCTCATTTGTTCCTCCAACCCCATTTGAGCAAGCTGATGAAATGATAAATAAGGAGCTTCTATCTTTACTAGAGCATGATAATGCAAAATATCCTTTAAATGAAAAGTCTGACAAGGTCAAAGTCAAAGGGGTCAAGCGAGCTGAAAATGGTAAATCTTCAAATTCAATACCTGAAATTGAAGAGTTCGATGAGGCTGAACTGAGTGAGGTATGCTACATAGTGATCTTTGTCTAATATTTTAGATTTAATTCTACTGCAAAATAAGTGCTACTCTTATAACAAAATGAATTCTAGCGTTATCATTATTTTTTTGTTTAATATGCATTTGGATGAGTTAAGGAGTGTGATGTAGGACTTAAATGCTTAGGCAATATTAAATAAGAATTCACACGCTTTGGATGATAGCAATATTAAGTATTAAACTTGTAGCGATGTAAACAATAGAAGAAAACGAGAGAGGTGAAACTAGCTTAGGCCAAGTCACACAACCAAGAGTTAAGATCACAAAATAATCAATTATTCAGGTACAACATACACGATTGATTTTCAACAAGAAATTCCTAAATTAACAATGAGATTAAGTACCATGTGAGTCAACTCGCTCACTCTCTAGATTACTAGGCTTAGCGGAGAGAGTTAACACAATCCTTATGAATCAATTATGACCACAATTGAGGGCGACAATTAGGAAGATATAAAATTTGGAGGGAGAGTTCACTTTCATCAGAGTTTGGAAATAATCTGCCATTGTACGAAGGAGAGTTGGTCGTGTATGGCTTTGGCGAGGGTGAAGACGATCCTCTCTACGTATTCCTCTACAATTTGGTCAATTTCTAGGTTGAAATCGAAGAACAGTAAGTTGAGGATATCAACATGACCTTGATTGTCGTAAACAAACCCTTGATCTTGTTCAGGATCCGCCATACATCAGTGGACAGCAACTTCAAGGTTCGGGAACCTTTGGACAGCGATTGGAGACCTCTCCAACCGGCTGGACAACAAGGAAGAGTGTAGGAATTTCTGGACAGCACATGATTTATTACTGGACAGCAAGCAGGAACTGTTTTGGACAACAATACTGGTCTTGGGAGTTCTGGACAGCAATCTCTTGGTCCAGAAATATGGACAGCAGTTGTGAGCGGATCTAGGCGGCTAGGGTTGATGTGGACGGCTATGGGAAAGAGATCATATCCCTTAAATGACAAGGGGAATAATTGGGGGAGGTAATAATAGAGATAGAATGAGAAAAAGGAAGGGAGTGGAGAGGGGAGGCCAACAGGTATAGAGGTGGGGAAAGGGTGTGGGGAATTTAAGGGAGTTTCTGAACTTGAATTAATGATTAAGGAAAGGGAAAATTAGGATAGATTTCTGTTGAAACAGAGAATTTGAGAGGGAAAAGCTTGAATTTTATTAAGCAATCTACTCCCTATTTATATATCTATACAAGGTGTATCGATAAGGAAACAAATAACTCTTATAATAACATGAATACAATTATTCCTAAATCAATGGGAGGAATTAATGCTATCCATGTAGTCTTCCCACGGATTACTGTTCACAGCCGTGGATGTCTTTGGGATCGTAAGGTTGAGATTTAACAATAATAGATATATGATAAAAACTTAAAGTGTAAAACCCGAAAATCATGAAAACGTCGAACAATCACGTCGCGACAAAATTAGGCGAATTGTCAAAGTTGTCGGAATTTGACGCAATCAATTTTATAAAATTCTACGCGAAATTTCAAGCGATTTGGTACAAAGAACTTATACTTAATTTCGCACGAATTTAAAATTAAAAATTGACGAAGATTAGTTAAGGATAAATTACTTAATAGTTCATCTTAATTCTTAAGAGAAATTAGGGAATGAAGGGTACATGCATAATTTGAATACCTCCTAACAATGTTGACAAAATGTGCATGCATAGGAGAAAGAGAGAGATGTTAGGAAGAGGAGTCATCAATGGCAGAAGTTTGTTATAAAGAAATGAAAATAAAATTGGGAGAGGCACATAAGTAAGGTATTTTTTGCCTATGTACGTGGTTTGAGAGGGGCCACCATTTATATCCTGAGAATTTAGATTCTGCAAGAGAAAAACATCCCCTTGATGTATTTCTTTTTTAATAAAAACTTCTTTTTTGTTTATTATTATTATTATTCTTATTATTATTATTATTATTAGTAGTCGTATTATTTT